CCCCCCCCCCCCCCCATTTCAATCACACACCAACCATTATTTTGGTTTTATGAATTGGTATTGATTAAGGAAAAAAAAAAGAGAAAATTTCAACCACACTTTCTCTAGTTTACTATACCTTCAAGAACATCTTTTATATTTTTTGAATCTTCAGTGATACTCCTTATCAGATTAAAAATATTAACTAAAATATAATTTTACTAAATTGTCCATGATATATTTGAAGAAAAATTTCATCCACACCTCCTCTAAATAAGTATATCTTCAATGAGACCCCCTCTAGATAAGTATATCTTGGATGACATCCCCTCTGTTTTCTATTTTTTTTTTATGTATTAAAATTCGATTCAAGCTAATTAAAATTTATTTTTTTACATATTAAAATTTGATCCAATTAACAATTAAATTTTTTTTACATATTAAAATTCAGGTTAATTAAAATTTTATTTGAGCCAATTAAAAATTATTTTTAATCGACTCAAATTAAATTTTAATCAATTCGCATTGAATTTTAATAGGCCAAAATTTTAATACAAAAAAAATATAAAATTTAATTGACTCAAATTTTAATAAATCGAATTTTAATTGACTCGAATTTTCATAAGTAAAAATATATAAATTTTCATCCACTCAAAAGAAAATTTTAATCGGCGCTAACAACTCGGATAGAGTTCATATCGGTTAAAATTTTAATATGTAAAAAAAAAATTTAATAGGCTCGAATTTTTAAAAAAAATTATGAATTATTAAATAACAAATTAGTATTTACTAAAATTGTTATTTATGAATTTTTTTTAAAACTTTAACAGCTCTAATTTTAATTAAATTTTATGTAGAAAAATTAGTTGAAGTTTATGTAGGGACATTTTTGGTATTTTAGATAAATTGTTTTGGTTAGAAATAGTAATTTAATGATATGAGGTGTTAGTGATGTTTAAATTAAACTAGAAGGGGTGTCAATAATTTTTTGATAATAGAGGGGGCATCCTTGAAGATATAGTAAACTATATGGGGTGTGATTGAAATTTTCCAAAAAAATACTATACACATAAACAAGGCTTCTGAGTAGTGATGACAGTGGATCGGATAAAAATCAGTATTCGTCCAAATTCATCTCGTTTAGACCAAAGATGAACCATATGTATTGGACGATAAACGTATACGAGGATACCTATATAAATTCATGCGGAAATAGATTGATACGTATCCCTGTCCCGCCATTCCCCGCTCCACTTTATCTGTTATAATTATTATTATTTTATATATATACATATTTCTGTGAATACAAATCTACATATTATTGAATAATTTTTTCTTTTGAATTTTTTTTTGTTTTTTAATTTTTTTTCCCATACTTTTGGCTTGTTAAAATGTAGATCTTTGTGTTTTTATGTTGAATTATGTTATTTTACATTATCTTGTGTTGCATGATGTTGTGTTGAATTTATACAGGAGACAAACTTTTAATTATATTATGTTGTAGATGACAAACTTTTAATTATGTTATAATATTCTATAATTATGTTAGATTATTTAAAATTTTGGATTATGTTGACTTAGACTTAAGACGAGTAAGGTGGACGGGGGTGAAGGCGAAGGGACAGGGCGGGATTAGGGATTACAAATTTACTCGCGAATGAGAATGAGAATGAAAACTATACCTGTTAACAAAAATGAACCGGAGATGAACATAATTTTTTTAAGCGAATACGAGGATAGAGATTACAACCCCCGCCCTCGCTTCGGTCCACTGTCATCCCTACTTCTGAGAAAAAGAAAAGATAAACACTAATCTTCTCGGATATATTTGTTGGAGCATTCTGTGTTTGATGCAAACCTAAGAATACAACTTCACAGTGTAGGTTACATACATCCTCAAGTAAAAAAATAAAGTCAGAGCTCAAGAAAAGAAAACAGAGAAAAAATAGGCGGTATAGTAGTAGAGTATGGACCTACGACGAGTATGTAATTGTAAATAAAAGGAAAACAACAGTGGAGCAAAAGAACTAGAGAACGTATCAACGGAGGAAATCTTGATATTTCATTTTATAAAATTGCTTACATACACGGAAGGAATGTCGAGCATATATACATAAAATTTGTAACAAACTAACAAACCCAACCTATCATATGGTGCCAGATAATAGACATGTGCAATGAATGAAAGAATAACAAATACAATATGACAATTGAAAATGTAAAGAGTAGAGTACAAAACGACTTGTAGTTTTTAGACTTGGCCTGTATCCGTTAACACCCTCCCGCAAGATGGAGAATAGAAACTTACTATTCCCATCTTGGACAAGTGTGCTTGAAGAAGGTAGGATGGTAGAGCTTTTGTGAATATATCAGCCAGCTGTGCTTGAGAGGAAACATGAGCTGTTGTGAGACTTCCTTCCTGAATTTTGTCGTGGATCAAGAAACAATCAAGCTCTATATGCTTGGTTCGCTCATGGAAAATCGGATTGACGCTATATGAAGGGTTGCCTGGTTGTTACAATGGAGAATGGTAGCTTACGGATGAGAAATACCAAGATCATGAAGAAGATATCAAAGCCAAGTAAGTTCTGAACAAGTAGTAGCCATAGAGCGATACTCAGCCTCAACAGATAATTTANAAAGCCAAGTAAGTTCTGAACAAGTAGTAGCCATAGAGCGATACTCAGCTTCAGCAGATAATTTAGAGACAATTGTTTGCTTCTTACTGAAGGTTCTTTATTCGTTAACTGGGTTCTTTTATGTTATACCGATTGTAGACCAACGGGAATCCGGGCAAGAGGCCCAATCCGAATCACAAAAAACTATAAGTTGAAGCTAAGATGAGGATGGCAGCAAAAGACCTTGAGCTGGTGCATGTTTAATATACCTCAAGATGCGGTACGTTGTTGCCAGGTGAGAAAAAGAAGGCTGATCCATGAACTGGCTTAATAACTGGACAGTAAAGCAAATATCTGGGCGGGTTATTGTGAGGTACAATAACTTGCCAATTAACCTTCGAAAAATTCTTGGATCAAAGAATGTAGTCCCTTCAGATTTGCTGATTTTGAAGGGTTGATCCATAGGAAGTTTAAGGGGTTTGCATCCCAAATCCGCCAAAATGTCTAAGGTATATTTCGTTTGACATATATGAATACCTTTAAAAGATCTGGCAATTTCCAAACCCAAGAAATAACGAAGACAACCAAGATCTTTAATCTTGAATTTGTTATTCAAAAAATCTCTTAGAGAGGCAATGGAGTCATTGGAATTGCTAGCAACCAGAAAATCATCAGCATAAATTAGCAAAGCTGTAAAATTATTCCCTTCATGCTTGGTGAATAAGTTATAATCAAACTTTGATTGGATGAAGCCAAAAGCAATGAGGGAAACGGTGAGTTTAGAGTTCCATTGTCTTGAAGCTTGCTTTAAACCATAATGGCTTTTAAGCAATCTGCAAACTTGGTTTGGTTTATCCTTGGTGTAACTCGAGGGTTTCTTCATGTAAATCACCATTAAGAAATGCATTATTTACATCAAATTGATGTAAATACCATCCTTTGATGGCAGCCACACTAAGAAGGTATCTAACAGTGACAAGTTTGACAACGGGTGAAAAAATGTCAATATATTTGATACCTTCCTGTTGGGTGTAGTCTTTAACTACAAGTCTAGCCTTAAGTCTTTCAACAGAACCATCAGGCTTAAATTTAATGCGATAGACATACTTACAATCAATTGTTACTTTCCCTTTAGGCAAATCAGTGATGGTCCAAGTATGGTTGTTTTCCAAAGCTTCAATTTCAGCATCCATAGCTTTGCACCACTCAGGATCTTTAATTGCTTGTTTATATGAGGTGGGCTTGGTTTGAATGGAAATGAAAGATGAAAAATCTTGGAAAGAGGGATTAAAGTGTGTGTAGGATAAGCAGTTAGAGAGAGAGAAATTTTTACCACTTAATTGAGGAGCTGCAGGGGAAGTCGATTGCTGAGGTGAGACAAGTCTGACTTGTTTGCAGTGAAAATCCTTCAGATATTGAGGAGTTGTCCTGTTCCGGGTAGATCTGCGAAGTGGAGGGAAACAGGAGGAGAAATGATGGAATTAGATGGTGAAAAAGTGGGAGAAGGGGAGGATATATTAGGACATTCATCAGAAACATTAGGAGGGTGAAGGGATGACGGAGAAGGATGTATGGGACTAGTAGGGAATGGATCTGAAAAATTAGAAGAAGGTGCAAATGGAAGAGAGAAAATGGGGAAAGATGGAGCTGTGGAAGGAGAAGATGGAGGTGTTTGAAAAGGAAAAATAAATTCATGAAAACTAACATCCATTAAAATGAAGGTGCTAGTTTTGAGATCTAAAAGCTTGTAGCCTTTAGTTCCAAAAGGGTAGCCAAGAAATGCACATACACGACCTCTAGGATTAAATTATGTTCTGTTATGAGCAAGTGTGGCAGCAAAGCAAAGGGAACCAACTACTCTCATGTGAGCATATTTGGGTCTCTTATTAAAAAAGAGTTCATATGGTGTTTTGTTTGAGAAGGGGTGATGGAAGCCTATTAATGATATATGTGGCTGTAAGGATGGATTCATTCCAGTAAGTTAAAGGAAGACTAACTTGAAAAAGAAGGGCATGGGCCACATTTAGTAAGATTTGGTGCTTCCTCTCAACAATGCCATTTTGTTGAGGGGTTGCAACACAACTTTTGTGATGAATAATGCCTTTTTGATTGAAAAAATCATGCATGTTAAACTCAGCACCATTATCACTTCTCAGAATTTTAATTTTCATTGGAAATTGTGTCTCAACAAGATTGTAAAAAGCTGTAATGCATTGTCTGGTTTCAAATTTGGTAGCAAGTAAATAAATCCAGGCAGTTCTAGAAAAGTCATCAACAATGGTCAAGATGTACTTTGAGCCATCATGAGCAATAGTGGAGCAAGGACCCCATAAGTCACAATTAATGAACTAAAAAAATTCTTGATGAAGAATGTGTATTCTTAGGAAAAGATAAACGATGAAAATTTAGCTAATGAACAAATTTTACAAGACTTTTCATTAATAGGAGAAATTCCCTTGTGTACAAGTGGATCTGAAATTAACTTTAATCTAGGAAATGATAAGTGACCTAGGAGACAATGTCATAGGTCAATATATGAAACAGAGTTTGTAACAAAAGTAAAACAAGAAAATATGATATTGCTGCTGGCTGAGTGTGCCGAGAGGAAGGTGGATAGAGTTGAGGGAAGGACTTTCTTACAAATGAAATGGTACAAGCCATACTTGAGCTCACCCATCTCAATCCTTATCCATGAGTGCAGGTCCTAAATAAAATAGTGAGTGGAAAAGAAAAGCAAACAACAATTAAGGGTAGAGATTAGTTTGTTTGCTGAAATAAGGTTGAAAGAAAATGATGGCACACAAAGGACATCATGCAGAATGATGGAATTTGTTAAGTGAATTGTTCCGATGTGTGTGAAAGGGGCAGAATGACCATTAGGTAGTTTCACAAAATAAGAAACAATAGATGTAATAATAGTAAAAAAAAAAAAAGGTATTGCAGACCATATGGTTTGTAATGCCTGTGTCTAGTATCCAAGCAATAGATAATGGATGTGGTGAGCATTGTGTGTGAGTAGACAAAGAGGTGGAAGTACCAGACATTTTGGAAGAGGGTTGAGGTGGGTTGTTGTGGTGGACAGCTGAAGCCACAATTGGAGAATCCTGAGGTCTGAGCAATGCCATCAGTTGCTGATATTGTTGCTTGGTTAAACCAATTTTGGCATCATTGTTGTCTTCAGAGTTAGAGGCAAATGAAAGAGATGTTTGATTTGCAAGAAAACCAGATTGTTGCTGCGGCTTGGTATGGTATTTGTGGCCAGGTGGGTATCCATTGAGTTTGTAGCATTTCTCAATGGTATGGCCAGTCATGTTGCAATGTGAGCAAAGAGGAGGCTCAGTATTGCCAGCTTTGAAGCAAGTCTCGAAAGTATGACCAGTGATTTTACAGTGGCGACAATAGGGACGATTTTTCTTTGGAGGGTGGTTTGTTTTAGGTGCAGGTTTGGAAGAGGTGTAGGGTTTCTGGATTGTCATGGCCATAGTCTCGGGTGATGGAGTGTGAGAGGTTATTTGATGATGTCTTTCTTACTGTTGGACAAGGGAAAATACTTTGGAGACAGGTGGGAAGGGATCTAAAATCATAATCTGGTCTCTAATGGGAGAATAAGAGTCATTGAGACCTATCAAAAATTGCAGCACACAATCTTGTTGATATCGATCCGGTAAGGTTTTCATATTACCACAGTTACAAGAAGGTATAGGATCATAGATAGACAGTTCATCCTAGATAGCCTTTAATTTGCCATAATAAATGTTTATCGGATCGTGCTCTTGAGACAAGGCAGCCAAAGCCTTTTTACGTTGGTAAATACAAGGACCATTTTGGTGCGAGAACCATTCCTGAAGGTCCAACCAGATTTCCCTAGCATCATCAACAAAGAGAACGCTGGACTAGAGAGAGAGGCTGATGGAGTTTTGGAGCCAAGAAACGACCATGTTGTTACATCGCTCCCAAAGCTCAAGCAACGGATCGGTGGATTTGGAAGGTTTGGTGATAGATCCGATGATGAAATCGAGTTTGCTTTTCGCGCGAAGTGTGCGTCGCATTGAGCGAGACCTTGTGGCATAGTTGCCTACTGTGAGGAGATCGACAACGAGGGTTAGGGTTGGACTATCGCCATGGTCAAGCCAGTATGCGTTCGTCGGATCAAGGAGATTAAGGTATGGAGATGGGGGTTTTGATTCTAAATCAAATTGAGAATCCGAAGAATCGATATCGGAGGTTGCCATTGAAGATGCTCTCAACCTTGCCCTAATACAATGTAAATAAAAGGAAAACAACAGTGGAGCAAAAGAACCAGAGAGCGTATCAATAGAGGAAATCTTGATATTCCATTTTGTAAAATTGCTTACGTACACAAAAGGAATGTCAAGCATATATACTAAAAATCTATAACAAACTAACAAACCCAACCTATCATATCGTGCCAACTAATAGACATGTGCAATGAATGAACGAATAACAAATACAATATGACAATTGAAAATGTAAAGAGTAACGTACAAAACGACTGGTAACTTTTAGACTTGGCCTGTATCTGTCAACAGTAATTACAACAGCAAGATTCATATATGGAATACAATACAAATGTGTGAGATAAGTAATAACATGTATACAATGTTTCAATTTTTTTGGTCGGGCCAATTAATGGTGACTAATCTTGAAATATAAGATTAAGATAATTGCAAGGATAAGTGCTCCAATTATGGAGCAGACGATCCACTTGTTCCGTGTCATCCTTCTAGACATGGCAGACAACACTTTCTTACTCTTGTCAATGGCATCATCTACACCATGAAGCTGCAAAAAATACAAATTTTATCAATCAACACACTGATTTTTTTTTTTTAATTTTATATTTGAGCGCATATACGGTGTAGTTCCTGAAATGGATAGCTTAGGAAAGAAGTCCATTTGGGGCACGGGATTTGTTTCTAGAAGCGGCTCCTATCTACTACGGGAGGAGTCAGATGCGTGCTTAAAATGACATACCTTCTTATGAGAATGAAGGAGAGTTTCACGTTGCTGATGCAAATCTTCAAGGATCGAGACACCAAGGTCTTCTGTCTCCAGCATAGTTCTTCTGCTCTCTTTGATTCTATCACTAGACTGATTCAGTCTCTCAGTTGACATAGCCAGTCTTTCTCTTTGATTAACAGAAACCTGTATTGTTGTCTATCTGTCAGGAAACTCCCCGCCAAACATATAAAAAAGGAACATTCTCCCCAAAAAACCTTTAATGGAGGCCAATAGAGGCACCGGTTCGAAAAAGTAAGATAATCTCTTAATAGTACTAGAAGTACGGGTAAACTTAAATTAACATTGAACAAAATAATAAGAGAAGATATGAAAATATTTAACTTAAATGAGCATATAGTGTATGATCGAAATAAATGGCGAAGACGGACTCATACAGCCGACCCCAAATGATTGAGACATAAGGCTTAGTTTGATTTGGTATTCTCCCCAAAATCAAAAACGGAAATTATTGCAGGCCAACACAACCTAAAATGAATGAAAATATGGAAAACGTTAATGAAGAAAGGTCCCAATCTTGAAATTCTAGACCCTCAATCAGCAGTCATGCAACAAACATTGATGAAAATAGAGCACCTTGGTCAGCTGACCACAATAGGACCTGGAAGACCAATTCAGTATCTTTAATGCATGATCATAAAATTTGGACATTTTCTATTTGAGCCCAACAAATTTCAGAAAAAAAAAACATGGTTGTGGTCAGTTTTAACTAATGAAAAGTTATGGCAAGTTTCACAAAAATGGCAAAGTTTTGAAGGCTTATACAGCTGCAGTGAGCAACTTCACTCTCTTGGTTTACTCATTGCTGTCAACGCATCCAAATGAACCAGATATACCACAACCAATGTTACCTGAATCGTGGGTCGCTTTGGTACGTGGTACAGATACGGGTACATGGTACGACACTTTCTTAGCTACATGGTACGATGGGAGTAGGTTTAACTGGTACGATATTTTGGATCGCAATTCGTTTTGGAACTCTTACATAGATTATTTTCACTATTACACAGCATTATATATTACAAAACATTAAAAAACACAAAATTAGTTACCATTTATCTTATAATTGTGCTTGATTTTTTGTTATCTAAAACAATATATAATTATAAATCTATATACATGTAGTCAATTAATATGTGTTTTATATTTGTGCTACATGTTCTAAAACGAATTTGATTTAGGGTTAGTATTACAATTTGGGGTCGTCAATTTTGGTAATCTGGATCGCAAACTCACCACGTTTTGGATCGATGTAACCAAATCATGGTTCATTAATGGTTTAGTGAATTGTGGTAAGCATGACCACAACTCCTCGCCAAACTAGTACCCTTGGACCAAACACAGCCATGTTGGATCCAAACAGATTATTTCAACATCATGGTTTTGAAGGTTTCAATTTCAAAGAACCATGAAACATGCACCATCCCAATATGCAAGACATAATATTTCACTGAACAGAACTTAGGCTATAAACTCTATTGAGACTAATGCCTGATCTTACTTGACTGATTTACCCGAATTCTGCAAATCAGCTCACTAAAGCTTTGAAGACCAAAATACTATTATGCTTTTGAATGCAGAAATGAAGAATTATTCAGTAACAAATAAAGAACTTCAGCCAACAATGAATATACACCACATAGACTACAACCACACACAACAATTATGGTTCAAGTTATGGGATTGCATATTCAAATCAAGTTAATTCTTCGAGAGTTGCATCTAATTCAACACTATCAAAGTCAACGACAATTTCTCCATAAAGGTAGCATGCAGAACCTTTGGAAAAAGGCCATCAAGAAAAACGAAAAAGAAAACAGGGTAGTAAAATATGGGCATACCGCTTGTGTATCTGCCATTCCAGATTCTAGCAACTCTTCATGGGCAGCTTGACTGGAGTTACCTGATGTGAGCTTTTTAACTTCCCTTTTCAAATTATTCAGGTCAGATTTATATTCCCTAAGCTTTGCAAGTAGCATAGCCTTTACGCTTGGCTGCAAACTTCTAGCCTCAAGGTCCATTTTTCGTATCTGGTAATTAGATTTAGATACAAAAGGTCATTACAAACCAAAACCAAGCAAAGCTTTGCGGCAAAATAAAAAGCAAACAAAAGGCTACGTATTACCAGAACATCAGCATCGTCCAATCCTTCTTTTAATTCAGAAACCTGTTGCTTCTTCTGCTCTGCAAATCACAACAACACAAAATAAACAACCATTCACAAGATCAGTGGCAATGACAAATGAGAAAATAATTATACAGCATCAAATCATAAAAAAATGCATGCAACATCTCAACCACGAAATACAAACTTTGATTAGAATAAATCATTCATATATGCATAACATAAAGAGTTGTTCCCCATTTGTAGGTAATAACCACAAACCTTAAATAACGTAGGGGCCTGGTCTAGAATGTCCAATTGAATTGTGCTTCTGCCTTCTTGGTGTCATGTATTCTTTTTCATCTTCACTGCCTCATTTCAAAATGCAATTTAATTCAATTTCTACTTTTATAAAAGAAAGCTTTACAAGTCCTTGCTCCCACTTTTAGGTGGAAGATGGAGCTTCCCAGACAAGAACCTCTGCCAATGGCACATTGGCCGGTGTCCTCTTAAGCCTCCTTGTCAAACATCTTCCATTATCTATTTTTTCCATCTTTATGTCCACCTTTTTGTCTCTTATTTTCTCTTTCTCTCTCTTGCATTTATATCCATTTACATATACAAGAGAAATGAAAAATGCTGCACTATCAAGCCAGTAAACAATATATACATATAAATCCCAACCCATCAAATTATAAAACTAAATGTGCAGAAATGAACTGAAAATACATGAAGGACAAACATAAGAAAACATAGCGTGTAAAATTATGTTACCTCCAGCTGCAAGAAGACCAGCCGAGTGACATTTTCTGGACAGATTCGCAGAAAGCTCACAGTACTGACGCTCATATCCTTCGAATACCTCACTCATGTCTCCTTTAAAGCTCAATATAACCTTGTTCAATAAACAGTCGATAGTCAGTCAATTCTATTGTTCACCAAGTAATAAAATCAAAAGTCAGAACCAAACTGAAATTTCTGATTACACCAATTGCTTTGATCTCTGTAGTTAATCAAATTCTAGGGCACTAGTTCATCAATTTTACATGACTCTAACCGGAATTAATCGATCTATTGAAGAAACATAAAAGAATGCATAATTACAACTTAGAAATACATTACAGATGTATATATTCAAAGGATTTGAATCTGCAAATAGCAAAAAGCGTACCAGAAATCGAAGTGAGGATCGGGGAATCCAAGAGAGAGTATGAACTGCATAAGAAGTACGGAATCGATTCGATTTGAAGCACCGAGCCTACGGTTGTCAGTTCGATCCGAGATCAGTTAGTTGAGAAAATTCTGAATTGGAATGGTGATATCGGAAACGGAGAAGAGCCTGCGTTGAATGCTAGAACGTATATGCCTCCTCGAACTGAACGAACCGTAGAAACTTGTACCGCAGATTATCCGAGGCCATTTTGGTCAGCTAGATTTTCTCTGTGTATATATATATATATATACTTATCAGTTTTCTTTTGGGCTAATCTCGCTTTCCACCCCCAAAAAATGTTTCAATTCTCAATTTATACCATTAAACATTAAAATTTTAATTTATATTCTCAAGGTTATGAATTGGTAACAATTTAGATCTTGCCATTCAAATTTTCGTCGTGAATTGAAACATATAAGTTACAATTGTTTCGGACATGAGCTTATATAAAAAATTTTATATTATTGGTTTTTTTATGTGAGTTGCGCATGATAAATTTAATTTTTATTTGATTAATAAAATTCTATTTTTGATACACAAAATTATGTCAAATTGATTGTAAACGAAAAATTGAAGCGATAGATATACCTCATTCTCATATTTGAAGTACTTACACCTTATGCACTTCAATTTATGACGAAAAATTAAACGACAATATGTTTTAGATTTACATTACTATCAACTTATAACATTGAGAGTGTAAATTAAAATTTTAAATATTTATGAGTACAAATTAAAAATCAAAGCATCTTTTGGAGGTGTAAAGTGAGAATAACCCATTTTTTATTTTGGTCATACTATTTTATGGGCGGGGGACAAAGAGGATCGAACTCGCGACCTTAACATTGGGTGACCTATTTGATATGCTAAATTAATTAGGTCAAACTTAAGATGCTAAATGGGCCCGCAGCTAAAAAGCCCACTTTCTTACAATTATGATGTTTATTCAAATATGAAATCTAATCCTAGAAATATAGCATCCCACTTTTTTTTCCTACCCAAGGTTTTGATACATTTTGAAATTGAGAGATCTCTACTAGAGCTAGTGCTATCTAGCCGATCTAGATTTAGGATTTTTTAATAGATTATTCATTAGTAGAACGAAAAGAATTAGGGAAGAGATGGGTCCAAAGCGAATGAATGGGAAGATCGAAACGTTAGAAAACAGAAGGCAAGATTTTTTTTTTGGCCTCGTCATTTAAAAATTACTATGAGTTGTATTATTTTTTCCCTTCTTTTGTTATTCAATTTTTAGTCATTTCCTTCGACTTACATGGCCTTACTAAGGATACTAAGTTTGCATTGGTCTATTGTAGTTGCAGATGTAATGGCTCTAGTCCAGGGCATGGGCATTGGGCATAAGCCTAGATTTGTGCAACTATTGCATTATCATAAACAAAACACAACAAAAAACACAAAAACATGGATCCATGGGGATTACAAATATACTCCTATTGAGATCATTTAAGTTCAGCCTGAGTGCATCAATTTGATCCAATCTTCCACAAAATTTCAGTACTTCGAGAAAAATCAATTTCACATCATGTTGGGTAACTAGCAGCATATCAACCTAGAAAAATAAAGCCGCGATCCCGACATCAATGGAGAGATAATAGCCTCTGGGAAGAAATTGAAAAGCAACAGAAACTAGAAAACAATCTCCTAAATCAGAACCTCAGACCATTATTTTGGCAGACCTCACATAGATGCTATCAACAACCTTGCCCATATTGGCAACGGTATCCAATGTTGTCGGGTAGATCGCATCAATCTTGGGATCTTCAAAAATGATGAGGCATCCAGCACCTTGGTCTAAAGTTCCCGCAAACTTCTTATTCAAAATCATTTGAGATGATTTTTTCTCCACGTGGTCAGCAGGCAACTCAATTAACTCGGCAATGTGAGCAATCTCAACCCTTGAGAAAGGCTCGATCAACCTGCAAAGATTCTGCTCCAGCAGCGTGTCATAGAGGGAAGAGAGGTGCCTGGGGACAATAGGGTCTTCCTCTAGCTGGGCTTTAAAGTTGCGAAGAGCAATCTCAAAGAGCTTCAAAGAGCGTTTTGAATAAGCATCAGCAACAGCTTTCATTGCATCAAGTTCTGGCCCCTGATATTGCAATCCCACCTTGGCTGATGATATTATTCCTGCTACATCATCAGCCTGGCTTACCATGATTTTGGACAACAACATGTACTTAAGGCTATATATGGCTTGGGGATCTTCAAGGGCATTGAAAGCTTCGAATGCTTCAAAGAAATAGCTGTAAGCAGTTTTATAATCCTTCTCTTCCGCATGGAGAATCCCACTTTGCAAGTCTATGCTGCCCTGCTGAGCTGGAGGCACATAAATGGCGTTGGCTGCTGTTCTTGCCGCTGTAAGGGCAGCCTTGGCTTTTGGAAGATTTCTCAGAGAGAAATGGAGCTTGCTCTCCAACAAGACTATCTCCACAAGAAGCAGCTTGTCATCTAATCTTCTCACCTCCTTGATGAGGCCCGAAAGTAGGGTCAATGCTTCAGAATACTCCTTGCTTTCCATCAAAAGAGCTGCAAGCCTTGCCTCAATTCGTTGTCGAAGGAAAGTTCGCTTCTCAGCACGGGTCCACTGCACTATTTCTTTGCAAAGGGAGATCTGGAGATCAGATGTGCCTGGTATTTTAACTACCGCATCAACAATTCCACGAACAATTTTAGCAGTTTTTGCCTTTGGGATCAAGGAAAAGAAGGGCCGCAATTGAGTCAGAAGTTTTTGAAGATCAGCTGCCCTGTTCTCTTGTCTAAGAAGGTCTGAGAGATTAGAGATGGCTTGTTCTTTTATCCGTAAAGCTTCAGAAAAAGATGAAGGGTCATCAAGTGTCCGATAAAGGATAGAGATCGCCTCAGATGGGGTTTTGGCTTCCAAAGCCTGAGCAAGTGAGTCAGTAGTTGCTGGGAGATATGATGAGGACATGGTCACGGCTTTCAAACGTCAAGTCCTGCAAATTTAGATTTTTACCCAATAACTTGCATTGCACAACTAGATAAGCCACAGATTTTTATCCTGAAAATGATGCAGAAGTCTAATGTCATATGCAGTACCGACAACAAAACATAAATTGACCAAGTTCCCTTAAATGAGACTTTAACGAAGATGAATGTTTAATGCAGAATCTCAATTTGAGATCCACTATCAATGGTCACATCAATATTTCTGGTGCACTGTTAAAGGAACAAGCTTCTCCGCAAGCACATGAACCATTAGGAAACATATTTAGTACCCCTGAGGCCCAAAGCTAGAAGATATATCACAAATGGCTTTCTATTCTCTCAAATGAATACTCTTTCCTATTCGATGGAATGTAAATGGTCAAACATAAGTCACCTGAGTTTATATTGCTTACCTCAGTGATGTAAAACCTCCTCCTACATGCAATGTTATTCTCAAATATTTAGGATAATGAAACCTACACAACCTAGTTTTAAGGTGACCAAGTTCAAAGAAGTTTGTAGGTTTATAATTATAGTCTGTGGAGGAAAATGCGACCATTTTTGGGATAAAAGCAGCTGGAATGTACTGGATGTTGAAAACTTATAAGTTCCTGGCAAAATGAGAAATCTAGAAGTTCGAAAGTTCTCTGGACAACAAAAAGCTCTAGGGTTTCAGGCATTTAATTAAAGGTCACGAAGTAGGAAAAAGGGTTAGGGATTAGTAGACTCGTCAAGTCACGAACACTTAAATGAAGATAGAAGGAGAATAAAAGTACCATCTAGGGAATATCATTCAAAAATTCTTCAAAACTTTGTACATCTGCTAAGACTAAAACTCCATTGAAACTGAAAATCACATGCATTACATAAAGGCCACTCCAGTTCTCGTACTTCTACGACTACGTGGACACTTCTGAACAGGAAAGTAGGCACTTTCTCTAGTAAAACTACCTTAAGCTCGCTAAAACTCACACCTAAGATTATATAACAAAAAAAGACCACATGACGAAAAACAAGACTCGCATACATTCACTGCAGCGCATGTCACATCTCTATAATAACAGAATTCATCCCAAATATTGGCTACAAAAGGTCATGTGTTATGCATGCACAATTCTTGATTTCCTTTCCTTCTGTTTAACATGCCATACCTACCCCATTTCCATTATCCACCAATTACGATTACTCGATTAGCCAAGATTCAAAGCAAGCACCTCTTCTGCTACCACGGGTTTCCCAAAAATCAGGCACCAATTTATAGGATGTTGAAGTTAATTCAAACAAGTTATAGATAATCAATGTCAAACATTGATGGACTCTAACCTAATCCATAACGCCAGTCCCCAGGTAACAGGAATAGGCTTATTTTTTAGGGTACAAATTTAGCTCTAATTCTCATTAGAACCCCTGTGCAAAGCATATACAAAGCCCCTGTCAGCAGTGCTGAGGAACGAAAACTATTTAGTTCGACGAGTACGATCAATGATTATCTGCCTCAACGCATAAAACTCCATAATTCCAACCATAATTCTACTTACATCAATAATTTTTAAATGTATAACAAAAATACCGTCAAACATAAATTGTTTCAAAAGAAAACTGAGAACAGTACTAGGGATCCCTATTCATATGATTCAGCTCAAGCAGATAATTTTCTGACAATCAAAACAAGAGAAACGCACCTCTATTAGCAAGAATCGAGGGCAGATATGAACCCTAAGAAGTGGAGAGAGAGAGAGAGAGAGGGAGTATTGGAAGGCTCAACTCACCAGTCACAAGAAAGAAGAAGTAGACAGAAAGAAAGAGTAGACAGTTCAACATAAGCACATACAAAGTCCGGTGTGTATTCTGAAAAAAAAAAAAAAAACAAAAAGTGAAAATTGGCAGGAGTCACAAGTCGTACTTGTTTGAAGATATCTTCCGTATAAGAGGTTAAGTTTATTTTTAAAATTATATATAATAATTTAAATTTATTTATTTTTATCTCAAAAATATTCTTTCTTGGGAGGAGGTTAAATTAATTTTTTATTTTGGATATAATTTTTTCTTAATTTAATATCAATTAAAATATGCCAATAAAATCTTCAAAAATTCAAATCCAAAGTTCTCTCTAATTATCTCTTAATTCAATGCCAACTATTTTCTTGCCATCAACGGTGGATTGGTAGAGAGTCTCCTCAAAAAGGATGGCACTGGAGATGTATTGGCCTAGGCCAGGAACTGTCACAAGGAGTGAGCTTGACGGTTAGCCTCAGTGTTCTTGAGCCCAATCGAGGCCAGATGCTTCCCACAGGTTGCGTTTGACTCGTCCATGGCGAGAATTCCACGCCTTGGTGAAGCCACAGTTTTCTGTACCCATGTAGTGAGACCTTCTTATTAGAATCCTATGCACTTGAGCTTAAATTATGAGCTTCCAGTCACACGTACGCACGCGCGTGTCCTTGTGCCTTGTGTCTTTTTAATTAGTGTTAAATTGAACGTTCCATATTACTATTATTTTTAATATATTATTATTTTTGTTGAGTATATTATTGTTTATGTTACTATTATTTTGAGCATATTATTATTTTTGTTGAACATGTTACTATTATTATTTTTCTTAAATATTAATATTCAATGTTACTATTTTTTTTTTGAATATTATTATTTTTTGTGTTTGACTGATACTATTTTTTGCGTTTGAATTTGAGAGAAATAATTATTGTTAAGTATGTTATAATTTTTATTAAGCATTTTACAATTTTTGTTGAATATGTTACTATTTTTGTTGAACATGTTACTATTGTTATTTTTTAAAAATATTAATATTGAATGTTTCAATTTTTTTTATGTTTAAATGTTACTATTTTTTTGTGTTTAAATTTATTATTTTTTATGTCCAAATGATTTTTTTTTTGTATTTGAATATTACTATTTTTTATTTTTAATGTTACTATATATATATATATATATATGAGAGAGTGAAAATTTTAATGTTAGTCAAACTCTTATCCTATATATGGATATAGATAGATATGAAAGNTTGCAGAAAGAGCTAAAGACTGGTAGATCGTTATATCTGAGAGGGCCAAAACTCCATTATTGCCGCGACTTGGGGGCGTGTTCAGAGAGTAGTGTCATTGGTTTACAATCCCACATCGATAAAAGAAGGGAGAGTCCGGGGCCATAGGGGAATATAAATTGAGACCGACTGGGAGATGAGAACATACTTACCTGGACGGGGTCAATGGGTGATCATGAAGGCCCATGGCCTAGGTTGGCGACCTCCATTGCACTTAGGAGGGGCGCCCGCCTAAGGTCTACCCAAGTGGTGGAGCCTACGTCATAATTTGTGGTAGAGGGGGCCTGCGTTCGCGCGGCCCCTGACCAATTTAGTTGCAAGGTTTGGGCTTAAGACAGGCATTTGTGCCCGATATTAAATGCTGTGGTGTTTATAGTTTATTTCAAATATATATATATTTATTTCCAAAAATATAAGGTAATAATATTTTTAAGATTTTCAAAAATATTAAGGAAACAAAATAAGGTAAGTTTGAAATGTGCGGCGGTAAAATTAGGATTCTAATGAAAAATAGAAGGTATGATATATTAAAAAGTTTACACATGTTTATGTCTTTGTTCCGATTAGTAGAAATATGAGGAAAATGTCAAGTTATAGTTTCATTGATTAGTAATTTTGGACATCATTGATTAGTAATTTTGATTTTATTTGAATATCATTCAGTACAATAACCAAAAATTTACTATATTTTTTTGGAAGGGATCATTTTCTTTAATTTTTTGGAAGGCAAAGACAAAAAATAAAATGGATCTCCTTTTTATTTAATCTTTATATTCATTTGCAACAAAGCAAAACAATTTTTTATAGATTTAAGTGGGTGATTAAACATGGTACATGCTAGTGATTTGTGGTGCATTTAAAGAAAGAAAAAAAACGCCACAAAAAACACAATTAGAAGAAAGTTTGTGTTTTTCGAGCCCACTTCGTCTCTTTCATTGGAGCCTGCACGACACTTTCTTTTTTTGTCGGTACAAATAGATACGACAAGATTCAAATTTATAATTTTAAAAAAGATCAATGGTCAGAACAGTGTTCATTAATCTTACTGCTAACACTGCGAAACACCCCTTTCCCCTGTTTTGCAGAGTCTCACTATATATTTCTATGACTGATTTTATGAGGGACAAAGTTTGAATAATGTGTATACATTTTTTAAGTATATAACTTAAAAAATAGTATAAAAATTAATTTAATCCAACTATTTTCATACAAATTATTTAGAATTGAATTATATGAATCTTCTTCTGTCGTACTCCATTGAATAGTAAATTATGTGAGCTTCCCATGTCCAATAAGTTTATAGGGTTTACATGGGGTTATTTGGCTCTCGTTAACGGAGAATAGAGGTATCATTTACTAATAAACATGAATTTAATAATATGACATGATCCGTTAACATAAATAGTATAATAGATTGAAAGGGTGACTTAAGTTTGGGGTTACGTAATGAGAGTTTTTTTTCTCATGATTACTTTATTTTTGATATGAATGATATGTCTTTAATTGGATCGAGAAAGAAATTAGTTGAGGTGTAACTAGGTCATGAGAGTTTTTTTCCTTATAAATTATCTAGTTCCGATGTGAATAATCCACCTTTGATCAGATCGAAGAGAGAATTAATCAAAATGCGCATAAATTGACACAAACATCTTTAACCGTTGAATAAATTAAAAAAAAAAAGAGGAAAAAAGAAAAGTTAACCTAACCTAAGCTAAAAAGGTGTTCTCTACAAGTTGAATGTTCTCTACAAAATTCACGATTGTTTCGAATGTCTCTTCTACGAGATCGATTTCTACGATGTCATTTTGTTTGGAAATGAAACTAGTCTCATAAGTATAATGACCAGTACAATACACATATCAATAGATTAAAGCTTTGATTGATAACTTTTGGAGAAATAGTCCTGTCGAATTTCAATTAATCTAAAATCAATTTCAAAATTCAGACTTTAAATAATCGATGGTTTGCAAGTTAAAAATCTGAATGAATAAGCTCAATCCAAAGTGAAGTTTAGCAAATTACCAAATTAAATGTCAATTTATCAAATAATAATTCATTTTAACACATGTACATTATTTAGGATTAATTATATTAGAGATCCCCAAAGTATGAGATTTGTCTCATTTTTGTCTTCAATATTTCAAATGCATCATTTTAGTCCTTGAAGTATTGCATATATTTATATGTGGACTCTCAAACAGACAACATTCAGATTGTTAACGATTTTTTTTATTATAAACTTATCACGAGATACTTATAGATAAAAAAATAATAATTTGATCAAACAGTTATCCAAATTACATAGTTTTGATTATAAACTATCCAAATTTTGATCAAGAGCTACCGATATTATACATTTTTGGTCAAGACTTGCTCCAATTATTTTTTACCCATATTTAAGTATTACGTGATAAATTTATGATTAAAAACCGTTAATAATTTGGAGGTTGTCTATTTGAGGGACCACATAGAAACATATTTAATACTTCAGAGATCAAAATGATGCAATTGAAATATTTAAGACCAAAATGAGACACTATAATTTGAGGACCTCTAATTCAATTAACACTATGATTTAAATTGAATCATAATGGGAATAGATTAATAGTACATTTAAATTCGAATCTTAAAAATATGATATTATTGATTCATATTCGGTTAAGTAAANAGAACAGATTAATAGTTCATTTAAATTCGAATCTTAAAAATATGATATTATTGATTCATATTCGGTTAAGTAAACAAATCAGCGCATCTCTATCCGACTAATTGGATTCAGATACGAATCAAATTCAAATGAAATTCCAATACAATGACTAGCATGCCATCATGTTCTTTGTTCTTCAAATTTATGTTGTTGCTAATAAATCTGACTTTGTCACATAAAATTTGTTTTAAGCACTTCCTTGGATTCTCCTCCCTCCTATGGAAGAAAAACCTCAATGTAGTTTAGTGAAATAGCCGAATTCTACAAAAGACAATGAGTATGAAACATAGTACTATAGGACACTTGCAACACTAGTACTCTCATTTAACACCATCTCTTACCTCTTACTCAAACTATATATACAAGGACGTGCCTTAATGCAATGTATAAAGTTGTTTTATTGTAACCGTTCAATTCACGAAAACAGTTTCTCCCGCAACAGTCACATGTAAGAGAGACACAAAAGAAAATTACTAGTATAGAAGGGATGGTGAGGAAGAGAAAAAACAGTGACCAGGGAGAAGAAGAGAGAGAGACTGGTAATAATGGGGACATGGATTGGCAGCAGATGATGAATGAGGCTGCAGCCTTGGCAGCTCGACGAGCCCGGAAACGCTACGTTGGGGTGCGGCAACGGCTATGGTGGGTGGCTGAGATAAAAGACACCATTCAGAAGATAAGAGTATGGTTGGGCACATTTGACACTGCTGAAGAAGCTGCTAGAGCTTATGATGAGGCTGCTTGCTTGCTCCGTGGAGCCAATACTCGAACAAATTTTTGTCAATGTCCTCCTCCGTCTAATTCATCGCCAGTTCTTCCTTCTAAGATCACCAATCTTCTCCTTCAACAGCTTAAAGCTCATAACAACACGCTCCACGATCATAACCAACAGAATCAAGAACTAACAGAAGTACAAGATACACAATTCGTTAATTTTGTTGACATGTCCAACGCCACCATTCACGAAAACAGTGATTTGGGTGCTAACATCAGCAACATTAGCAGTACCAGTGATTGCCTGACCACTAGTATCGAATCAAGTGTCATTGGGAAGGAAGGTAGTGGTGGAAGAGAATGTGAATTGGAGAATAGTTGGACTAGTGTCGATCAGTTATTGACCTGTGGTAATGCCCCGTGGTGTGATCAAGTTGGAGGGGAAGGAGAGGAGAAAGAGGAGTGAGAAGAAGAGAACGATTTCGGGGTAATGGATTTCCAGTTTGTGGATGCAGTTGAATCATCTGGTTACTGTTTGCCATTTGAGATTGCAGAAGAGATGATAGAGCCAATTGAACAGGAAAATGATGGCGAAGAGCCATCGATGCTTACAGAGGTCATGAAGAGGATGAGATATGAACGCAAATTCTCAGCTTCACTTTATGCAATCAATGGGATATCAGAGTGTCTAAGGATGAAACTTGAATCAGGAAATGGGAAGGGAACAACGAGGTTCAAAGAGTTTCCCAACATTGGTATCCACTGCAGTAAAGATCAAGAGGAAAACAAAAAACAAGAAAATGAATGTGTCCAACAGGTATGTCAAGAACAGGTAGAGAGCCATCAAATTACTTCGACAGAGACAGGGTTGTCTTCATCTTCATCTTCTTCCACTTCTTCAAGCAAGGAATGTAGTGAATTGTCTCTTTGGAGTTCTCTTGATCTCCCTTCTATCACTGTGCTATTTAGAGGATAGAAGAGCCTTGAATTTCATCCTTTTCAATTCTATAGCAACTAGATCAGACTTAGAGGGATAATAAATGTTCATCCACCCAGGTAATGTGTTGCAGGATCAAGTTTAGAAATTGGGAGATTGTTCACATCCGCTAGAGACTAGAGTTTCATGCGCTGGATAAAATTTTTTTTTATCATCATGCAGGGAGTAATCAGGATATGTTAATTTGTACCTAGCAACATATGAAGTGTAATTGTAGTTTCCACCCTTCAGGAGACTGTTCTTTTTTATACCTATTTCCAGTTCTAAACATTTAATATATTTGGGCACCAACATTTCCAAAATAAAATGAGCAAAATACTATATGCAGGATCCAATTATACAAACACTACAAGTAAGGAATTAATCGAGACAAGTTACTCGACTTATGCTCAATTCAGATAAGACGTAACTCAANGGAGAAGAAGAGAACGATTTTGGGGTAATGGATTTCCAGTTTGTGGATGCAGTTGAATCATCTGGTTACTGTTTGCCATTTGAGATTGTAGAAGAGATGATAGAGCCAATTGAACAGGAAAATGATGGCGAAGAGCCATCGATGCTTACAGAGGTCATGAAGAGGATGAGATATGAACGCAAATTCTCAGCTTCACTTTATGCAATCAATGGGATATCAGAGTGTCTAAGGATGAAACTTGAATCAGGAAATGGGAAGGGAACAACGAGGTTCAAAGAGTTTCCCAACATTGGTATCCACTGCAGTAAAGATCAAGAGGAAAACAAAAAACAAGAAAATGAATGTGTCCAACAGGTATGTCAAGAACAGGTAGAGAGCCATCAAATTACTTCGACAGAGACAGGGTTGTCTTCATCTTCATCTTCTTCCACTTCTTCAAGCAAGGAATGTAGTGAATTGTCTCTTTGGAGTTCTCTTGATCTCCCTTCTATCACTGTGCTATTTAGAGGATAGAAGAGCCTTGAATTTCATCCTTTTCAATTCTATAGCAACTAGATCAGACTTAGAGGGATAATAAATGTTCATCCACCCAGGTAATGTGTTGCAGGATCAAGTTTAGAAATTGGGAGATTGTTCACATCCGCTAGAGACTAGAGTTTCATGCGCTGGATAAAATTTTTTTTTATCATCATGCAGGGAGTAATCAGGATATGTTAATTTGTACCTAGCAACATATGAAGTGTAATTGTAGTTTCCACCCTTCAGGAGACTGTTCTTTTTTATACCTATTTCCAGTTCTAAACATTTAATATATTTGGGCACCAACATTTCCAAAATAAAATGAGCAAAATACTATATGCAGGATCCAATTATACAAACACTACAAGTAAGGAATTAATCGAGACAAGTTACTCGACTTATGCTCAATTCAGATAAGACGTAACTCAAACTCGACTCATGTTCTAAATGAACTGCACTATTAACAATTTTTTAGACTTATTTAGAAAAATAAGCCTTAAAAACTCAGCTCAAATTCACAAAACACAATTCGTTTATATATAAAATAGTCAAGTTACTCGGACTCAACTAGAATTTGATTGGGCCTTTGGCTCGGTTCATTTTCTAAACAAACCGAACTTAAATAAATTTTTAGACTTGTTTAGAAAAACAAACTCAATAGGCTCGGACTCAAACTCGCAAAACTCAACTCAATTAACACCCCTAAGTCGATCACTTGCCTACCAGGCGAAAGAACCAGTGTAGAACTGAACCCTACAATGTATTTTTCAACTGTTTTGGCATACAACTGAGACAACTTACTCATTGACATTCAAATAGAAACTGTTTTGGCCTGTAAATGGGATAAGCTACCAACCACCACCACTACCACAACCTCCAGAATTTGTTTTTGCTGAGACAGGAGAGAAAAAAAGGACTCACAAAAACATTTACACCTTACACTCAGAGAGTTCAAGCCTGGAAACTTGCCAATTTTGTTCAGAATTTACTGCTGTTGAAATTCATGTTGATGCTAATGTATTATTAGCCATTAGGCTTTTTATTTGCAAAGCTTCTCTATAGAGATACAGAAGCAAAAGGGCACAATTACACAGCAACTTCGGTCTTCGTTTCCTCCATCTCTTCTATTTCTTCATTATGCCAAATTTACAATTTAGTAAGACACCTATGCTGGAAGTTGGAGTAGCTCCCGTATTCCTTCGCAAACCTGCAAACAGCATTTTAAAAGTTGCTCCAACAGGGAAAAGAAAGAAGGGAAAGAAAGAGTTGCCCATTTGTCGAAGCAAATTGGAGTTCATCCAATTTTGGGATCACAAAAAATGATCTCAAATTCAAAAACACCACAATAAATTAATGTCTTGGTTCCAACTTTGTCCTATGTGTTACTTCTTCTATTCCTCTTTTTACCCTTTAAATATGTCTTGGCTAAAAAATCCAATGAGAGAGCACCAGCAATAATTCTTGAGAAAGCAGGGGTAAGGAAACAAGTAGAAAGGGTAGAACCGGAGAGGGGATATTAATGGGTAAGCATACCATCTTAATCTGGGCTTTGATTGATGCGATCAGGCGAGTATACTCCTCTATTTGCCTGCAGGGCAGAGGGCAGCATCCATAACAAATTAACAGGTATACTTTCGTACAATGTTCAGAAACCAAATATAATAATTTAATTTGTAAATCCAATAAAGAAAATCTTGTTTAGCAGGGGGTTGAATATACAAGACGAGTTTCCAGTTATGACAAACACATAACAGGAAGAGGACATAAAAAAAAAAAAGAGAAAAAGATCAACGCTGGACAGGTATATATTAAAATGGGTGATAAGTGATCAAATTAAATAAAGTAAAAACATCATATTAATCAAATGCATCAACCCATACAACAATCTGGAGAAGCAAGCAAATGATCCATCAAGCGAAACCAAGACTCAGGATGACCGTTCCAGAAAAAAAACTAGGTGTGTCCCTGATGTGCAATGGTAATTCTAGATGACTTGGTTTTCATCCTATCATCCTTCAGCAAAGGGAATGATCACCTATCAATTGAGAGCTAACCCTACCTACACCTTCCACACACTGTGTGTGCATGCCACTTGAATGCACTTGCGACAAAATCCCAAATCTTTAAGCTGAGAAAATAAGGCCAGTGAAAGCAGAATCTGCTATATTTTGCCATCCATATGCTCTGGGTTCGCCTTCCTATGTGCACTAAGGAATTTTTAAAAAAAAGCCTCACTAGCCTCCAGATCCTATGAATTCAAAACTTCAGTATGCATGAGTAGAATCCAATCCCAAGCCATCTTCAACTAATGAACCTCAAAAAACTAATTAAACCAAACTAAGTTTAGGAATAGTTCATATTCAACTAACATAAGGTCTCAGTCTCAATCATGCATACTAAAGCTATTGTGTTGCTGATGAGGAAAAAAAAAAGAAAACACCTACAGAAGCTATTTTAGACAAGTGAAGCAAACTAGCAAACTGGGTGATCATTAAAGGGGCTTGGTATACGCCAAATCCAGAAGAAAATCAGTTCTGAAGAACATGAGATGGTTGTCAAAATAAATTTGATCAGCTCCATATTAATTTCCTTCCAATCTGCTTCTTGCCCTTTTTTAATTTTAAATGTCTTAGATCCATGCAGGTTGTGTGTAGACTGCCACACTCCTATTGAGAAAAGAAAGGGGAAAATACCCGGCTAACTTTTCTTCCCTTGCTGATATATAACTTAATGCTTCAGACCAAGAGAATTCCACGTGGAAACCCAGTCCAATATCCACAAATATGCGTCGTGTATCTGGCCTGCAGCCCGACAGAAACACAAACAAAAGGCACCCTTTAGTGTCCAATATACAGATACTCTTTCCATTTACGTAAAAGTATTTGTGAACAAATTTCTACTACAATGCTGGTGTCCATTACAACTACAAGTTCAGAAACTTCAGTTAGTACTGGAATCTTGATACAGAATGAGTTTGGCCACAATTATACTAACTATAACATACAAATGCTTTTCTATATGAAAAGATAGTCCACAGTAGCAGTGAGCGAAGAAAACAAAGTGAGGAGGGTAATATACACAGACAAATGAGACACCATTATACAAAACTCTAGAAGAAGAAGAAAAGAGGATAGAGAAGTGAAGGAAGACAACTGATGCCTTGCATGCATTCTTCTTGTGCAAAAGTTACTCGTTTTTTTATTTTTTGGGCGAAAGATATCATGTGAAAGACCTACACGTCAGCCTGCAAATAAACTTCAGAACCAAGATTGACCAATGTCCTCAGACTGGTTACACTGTTCTTCTCCAAATTCTCTATATTTCTTCTCAGATCTGAGCTACAAGTACACAGAGTAAAGCGAAAGCAGATACACACAAGGATCAACAAGACTGGATCAGCAAATTCAAAATGGCGTAGTGTCAACAATATAAGACCATTACTATGTACAGATATTTGAGCAACTCTGTCAAAGTAAACAAGAGCAGGCTCCACATCACAAGAAACATGCCATATAAAGAAACCTGAAAAGGATACAATACTTTTTGCTGTTCAAAGACCTTGTCCCTGCAAAATAAAGAAGAACAGTTAGCTTGCAAGAGTTGCTTAAAAACAAACTCTTTTGCTGTATCTCAAGACTCAAATCAACAACGTGCAAATTGTTTTGTGAACACTATATGTATTCTTTTGCTGCTTCGTTAATTATTCACTTTGATAATAAGTTCTACATATCAACCTACTTGTATTTCTACTGAAATAAATTATCGATCCATGATACCCAACGAATGCTAATGAATTTACAGCCCCTCAAAATTTCATATGCCTCACAAGGAACAAAAATAAGCTTGTAGTCAAACCATGAGCACTTTCTACACAGACGTATGAAGCAGATCATAAGCAATGCCAAGCACAAAATTTATGTCAGACATCCGGAAAGACATCTAAGAGGATTGAAATTTATATGTATAGGGTGACAGAATTCAGAGTGGTAAAACCCATTGCCAGGCAAGCATCACCAAGATTAATACCATCAGAGGTCCTGCAAACAATCAAGAGATCCCCATAGATGACAGAATGAACTGATGCCATAAAAAGGAAAAAAAAATTAAAAAATAATCTTCTCATAACAACAAACATAGTCGACATGGACAATTTTGAATTTGGCAATCCACAGGACCAGCTGAACTAATGATCCAACAATTATCATCCAACATGGAGTATAATCATTGATGACTGGAGAAAATTAAGAAGACTCTTCAGCAGCCCAAATGATTTTGGCTTTACCAGACAAGAAGATACTGTAACAATGGGCTGTATGTCAAGGAATATGTTTAGACGATTCAGTACAAACCAACGCTTGTTCTTATCATGTGGGCAAACAAGATTTTTTTGTAATTGCTAGGCAAATAAGGGCATTTGAAGGATGATTTGTAGTACTGAAAAACCTTAACATCCTAACTGAAAGTCGAATTTCACAAATTAAAAGACACGCATAGCATGGGTGAGTGAGGGTGGGCTATGGCACAACAATAAGGTTGCTCTATTGTGACCTGGAGGTCACAAGTTCGAGTCGCACCTCTTTAAGGCTGCATACATCTACCTCTCCCAAGACCCCGCAATGGCGGGAGCCTCATGCACTGGGTACACCCTATTACATAGCATGGGTGAGTGATGAGTGCATTCAGCCATGCAGTATAACTTCTGGGCTATAGAGCACATAATTTCCGCAAAAAAAAAAAAAAAATTCCCCAAACCAATCCAACAGACAAGAGTCATCATGTCATGAGCAATGTGCAGCACCACACAGAACTCATTGATAAAAGAGCTACAAATGGAATAAGAAAACAGTACTAGAGTACAACGCATACCGTTCAGCAATTGCACGAACAAGATCAGGTTTCAAGCGGCGATCAATAAATTCTTCAAATCTTTGTACCTTCTCTTGTCGGAGGCTATCCATTTCAGCCTAACAGAGGATAAGATGAATTAAAAACCTCATCATAACAACACACTGAAGTGAGAAAGTAAGAGAGAACATCGAGAAAGTAGATGGGGGCTTGCATGAACAACCCAAGTCCCTTAATCTGAAACCCAAGAGCAATCTCTCATACAAATGCTCAATGAACTCTGCACAAACAAAAACAAAAACAAAAAACATGTTTGATATTATATATTTTGGATAATATTTTATTGGTGTTATTTTGGTTAATATTTAAACACAAATTCGTCCTCGGCTTCGCAAAATCTCAATTGAATTCATTACACAATTTAATCCACATAAACCCCTCCTTCATCTACCTTTTAATGTTTCTACTCAATTCTCATTTCCTTCAATAGTTTCTTCACTGCACCCATGCCTCTCACACTGCCATATATGCAAATAACAAGAAAATTTTGATTAATATATTTATGAATATATGTATGAAGATATATATATATATATATACATATACATGCGCGAGCGCGCGCGCGCAAAAACACACGAAAACACAATTCTCTATTAACAAGAAAAAATTGATTGATAGATCTATAAATACACACGCACACACACACACACACGCAGAGTGAAGATGAAAACCCAGTTTTACACACACACCCATCGAACACACACACATTCACACCCAAATCTAACCAAATATAACAGTATATTCATAGATCTAGAGCTAAATATACACATATGTACTATGTATATAACAAACCCAAATTTAAAATTTTGATTCCATAGAGAGGAGTTATAAAGAGAGTAAAATCTGATCTTGAAAGAGATAATGATGGAGATGGAGTGCTGACTTGTGAGATATGAGAGCTCCTTCGTCGTTGGCGTTGTGAAAGAGAGCGAAGGGTAAAAAGGGATAAATAATGCTTTTATAGTTAGAATAAAAAAACCCTTTTTTTGCTGCTAATGGAGTTCGAAGAGTAGACCTCATTAATTGGTTGCAAGGGACGCGCGTGTTTGCGTTTTCGTGTGTTTTTAAAAACACCTATTTTCATGTTTATAAAATTTAGGATTGTTTACAAAACATACTAGTTCAAAAAAGATAAAAACACTCTCTAAACATGTTATCATTTTTTTTTTTTTTTGCAAAAAGTGAAAAAAATAAATAAATAAATAAACACACAGTTACCAAACGGTATCTAAATTTTGAGCAAATAGCAGTTTGTACTCCAAAAGATTAAAAAAATTAATTTATACCTTCAAAGATCAATTATTTCAAATTTTACCCCCAATTAAATTAATTAGTAGCAATGTAACCCAACTATAACATTCGTTGCGATTTTCATCAAATTGTTAGTCACATTAGATGCACGTGATGATTTTGTCAGCTTATGACGTTTTCCCTTTTTACGTGCTTCTCACATGTCTATCAATCCAATAAAAATCATTATGGACGATATGGCTGGGATTGTGATTTTCATCAAATTTACAAGCACATGAAATGCACGTGATGACTTTTGTTAGATTATGATCCTACTTCTTTTCATGTATGTTTCACATGGTCGTCAATTTAATCAAAATCGTAACGGACATTATGATTAGGGTCAAATTGCTACCAATTAATTTAACTGGGGTGCAATTTAAAATAATTAATCTTTGAGGGTATAAATTAATTTTTTTTAATCTTTTGGGGTGCAATCTGCTGCTTACTCTTAAATTTTCAATTCGAAATGGTAGCCAAAATGTTTCCATCTTTAAGGAGACCAAAACAAATCAACGGTGAAATTAAAATTCTAATGTTTTAAAATATTTTATAATGTTTTGACGTATTTATATAATTGACTTGGAATGTTTTAAAATGTTTCAAAATATTCTGGTTTATTTCAACCATTTGAAAAAATAATTTTCAAAATTTTTATTCATTTTTATTCTATTTTTAAAATAGGTCGAAATATTTTCAAAATAGGTCAACAAATTTCTATTTTTTAAGTGACTAAAATAATGTACAGAAACAGGATCTCTGCATTTGCCAATTTAGAACCAAATATATTTCCGTTTTGGTTTAATCACAGGTTGCCCTATCAACTTATGATCAAATTACAATCAATTCCTTCTGGTTTCAATTTTTAAAAATTATCCCTCAAAAGTTATTCGTAAAATTGTAGCACCAACAAGAGAGAAATTAAAATAGAATTGACTTAAGTGGTTTGTAAATATTTTATTGAAGACCTGATAATCTATATAATAAAGTAGAACTAAATTTAAATTTTGGAGACAAAGAGAGGTCCAGATAGTTTTGAGATAAAACATAAACACATCCAACGGACAACGTACTCTCAACATAAAAAATGGTTCAGATCATCTCAAAATTTTGATCTAACGGTCTACAATGAGTATTAACTTTTATTTTCCCGCCCAACAATTATAATAGACCTTTAATTCTAAGACTCTGAAGTCTCTCTCTTAACTTAAAATACATCTCTTCCGATCTCATAGTCTATCTGTGAAATCTTCTCCCGTATCTTTTTCCTCTCTCACTCCTGTGTTGCCCTATTCTTTCTTGCCCCTCTCTTTTCTCTTCTCTCTACAAGCCGGAGCTATCAAAGACCAGCCGCCCAATAACCACCAGAACTACCACCAAGGTACTCCTTCCTCCCCTCCTCTCACTATGCTTTTTATCCCTTACCCACCTCCATGACAACCACTAGCGAGCTTTAAGAGAACCACCAATGACACCAACCACAACCTCCTAACCATCTCACATCGACCCCCATCAAAACCCTTAAACCACCGCCAAACCAGCCCCACTAAAATCACTCAAAGATCATTGCATCTCCTACCATAACCCTCCAACCACCCCCACACCGAAACCCCTAAACCAAACCCACCACTGAACCCCAAAAACACCGCTAAATCATCCTCACCCAAACCACTCCAAGATCGTAGCATTTCTGAACCACACACACACTTACATACAAATTTTAAATTACTTTGTGTATGTATTTTGTGTTTGGTTTGGATTATTTTATATATTAAATTATTTTTTGACATGTATTCATTCGGGTGTTAATTGAATTTGATGATGATGATTTTTTTTCTTTTTTGTAGTTGATTGAATTACTTTATGAAACTTGAGATTGGTGATGGGAGTTTGCTAATTTTGATTCAGATTTCTTAGCTTTTTCAAGGATTTGGATACACCCTACTATGCGGCAGCAAAGCTTTTGAAGTGGAACTATGAGTCAAAGGTTGATATATGGAGTGCTGGTGTGATTCTTTATATTTCGTTATGTGGGGTCTTACATTTTTGTGCAAGAATTATTCATTGCCATTGGTATATACCTTCACTTTCTCTAAAATATCCTTTTTGATTTACTATGTTTCTAAGTACACAGTTTGTCAAATTAAAGTTTTTGGTTAATACAATTTTTCAGAAAACAAATTTTTACAGAAAGTGACCTTAAATCATGTGTTTGACCAAACTGAGATGAGTTTTTTTAATCTTTCTTGAGAAAATGAAGCAACATAAAACCTTTTAGATAAAATTCTATTTTAGTTTGTTTTGTTGTTACTAAAATCAATGGTTTCCTGTTTTCTCTTGAGAATAGCAAGATAAGGAATGAGTGGTGATCTAGGTGATAACAAAGAGTCTCTCTTGGTCTCACCCTCTTGCCATCCCCAAAATTCCATTGCTCTAGCCCATACCATACCAGCTCACAGTGCCAACTAGAAATACTCCTCTCTCTTTGTAGATTTGTTGTTTGATGTCGGTGGATTTTTTAGTTATTATTTCTGTGTGGTTCTCTTTATTATTTATTATAAGTTTTATTATTTTTAAATGTTTTATAAATTTGATCTATTTATGAGAATTGAGATTATTATGCTTACCATACTTTTCACCAATGAAGTAAAAAATTATTTGCTTATGCATATTTTTATTATTTTGTGGGTTTTGTTGATTGAATTCATTAATTTTTTAGATCTTAAGAAGTTTAGTGTCATGCCACATCACCCTATGCCTTTGAACATATTTTCTATTTTTTTTATTTGTATTGATAAATCTTGTACTCATAAGTTAGGAGTTTATTTAGATTATGTAATTCTGGAGTTCTATTTAATTAAGATTGTTGCTTCATGTTTTTCATGAATTATTGAATTTGTGTGATTTTCATGCGGAGACAAATTGTTTGTATATTGCTCGAATGAAAGCAACTCAAATTGACATGATTAATTAATTTATTGTAAAGATTTGTCTTTGAAGTCTGAAATTTTCTTTCCTTTTTTATTATTTNAGTATTTATCGAAAAAAAAAAAAACTTCGACTTTCCTCGACTCTGATGAAATACAATTGAAAGTAGATAGATAAAAATAGTTGCTTTGTTGTATTTAATCTTTAAATTTCACCTAATCTTGGATTAAATATTTATCCTTATCAATTGTGTGGGACAATACACAACATATTTTTTGTAGTTTTATGGTCCTATAGTTGGTGGGTATTTTATTGTAATTTTTAAATTAAGCTGGTGAGTCTAGATGAATTTCAACTATGCTAATATTCAACGCTCTAATGGATGTATACACTTATTGCAATGAATTTTGATTTTTTTTTTTTGGCGATATTTGTTTTAAAANATTTCAACTATGCTAATATTCAACGCTCTAATGGATGTATACACTTATTGCAATGAATTTTGATTTTTTTTTTTTGGCGATATTTGTTTTAAAAATTACACAGTGTCTTCAGACTCGGGCATTAACTAATACACTGATAAGAAAGAGAGATTTGATACCAAAGGTTTAAATTTCGGTGCCATAGACTTTTATGTTAGACAAAGAAATCAATATGAGACACAAGAGGTTTGAATCCGGACAGAATAGTTTTAAAACTCAGCCCAGACATCCACCCGGGAGAGAGACCGGGTCAATGGGTCACTGGTTGGACCAGTAATATAATTACAAATTTTAAAAAAATTATTAATAATAATAAATAGGCTAAAAATTCACAATAATTATAAAAATAACAT